AAAGAACTAATCGTGCAGAGTTCTCCATATGCCCTCAACATATTCCTGCTCTTCTTATTCCTGTTGCTGCCCTGGACTCAGAGTAAAATAGCAGTGCGGTTCCTCATGTTCTCGATCGATGAGACGGCACCACCGCTCCACTGATGTTCTCTTACGGCACTTTAAAGCCCGCTCCCACGCTGCCCCTAGATTTGTAACCATTGGGCGGAGGAGCACAGCCAGGCTTGGACAGACCCAGTTGTACCCACTCTCTCCTTATCTCGGTTTTCCTCATTAGACCTTTCCCAAGCTTTGGCACAATGAGTCCACTTTTCTGCTACCACCCTTGGGATGCATGCATGAAAATCCTGGCCATTGCGGTATCTGCGCTCCGTCCGGTGTCGTCAGTCAAGAGAGGTTTATCAAACATTGTGCAATCCTATGCTGGGCATAGTTATTCCTTTTCGAAATGCTCATTGTAAATTGTCTTGGAATGATCTACGAGATTACTTTTCACTCGGCAAATCCGCCAAGAAGATACTCTGAGTACTCTTTTTCGCCGACAGCGTCATCGTCATTTCCGGACCTCGCGTCGGTTTCCCCCTAAAATAAATTCCACGCCAGTGCTGTCCGCTCCCGCTGCAGTGTTTTCAGGGATCTTGGCCTTTGCTTATTGTACAGTTTTGGTGCCTGTCGACATCTTGGTGCTGGTGCTCCCGAAGTGCAAGGTCCCCTGTAGCGCTGGCTCCACCCAGCTTTTGTCATGTTGCTGAGCCCAACACCGAACATTCTGGCCATTGTGTTTCGACAAGAAAAATTGGGTCTCTCCGCCACTACACAACTTGAGAAGTTTCTAACTTGTCAGCTTGACGTTCGTACGCCTGCAGCACGCCCCCGCGCTAGCGGCTCTTATCAATCCCACACACCTTTGAAGGGGTACTTTCCCAGTCACACTGTCATGATATCCCAGTCTTGCATTCATTTTTCTCATTGATCATTACCGAGCATATCCCTAGCATCCCAATTGCAAGCGACCGTATCTGCCTGCTAAGTTATCCACTGATACCCGCGCACCGGTTGGAACCACGCACTATTCATTGGAGATCCACCGCTAAGTGCGTGAACCGTTCTGGACCACAGACTGGCTTCTGAGAATCGCCGAAAATATATCGTTTGCGCACAAATCAATAGGTGCAACGTTATCTGCGTCTAATAACGGAACTCGGCGCGTTACAGATTACTGCGAGTCGAGTGGTCCGTCCTGAAGTGCCCAACTAGTCTCACAGCAGTGCCCAAACCATACAAAACACCATGAACCCCTTTCACGATGCTGGCCCCTCTCGCCAGAACCACCCCGAAGCAGAAGAACAAATGTCTGCCACTCCTGGCAGGAAGCGTGTAGGCTGGAGCTCAGAACCCTCTGCTAGTCGCTCAGTCCAATCGCCCGAAGACACTGGCTCTGCGGGGCACAACACGCCCCTCGAACGCTCAGATGTATCACATGACGACCTCCAAAAGATCCGGGCTTCGCTACGACTAGCCCTTGGAAACGAAAACCTCCCTGAAGAAGTCATCCAGGAACCTGTTACATCAAAGGATGTACAGAAACCTCGTCCAGCTATACGGAAACCTGGTCCTCGAACACCTCCACCAGAGTTCTACCTCAATGATCAGCCCAATCCCTTTGACGAGAATGTTCCATCCAGGCAGTCTTCAATAGGGCAAGACCTCAAAGAGCGGTCTGGTCTTGCAGCCCAACGCCGTGCAGCAAGACTATCCAAGTCGGTCGGTACATATTCTGCTCCTGCATCACGACGTAACTCCAACGAGCTCGCCTCACCACCGGTTGAGCTCCAGAGCATGTCGCAGCAGCATGAGTCAGTGGGAGAAACAACTGATGATGATGAGGACGATCCTCGCTTCATGAAGCGCGCTTCTATGATTCTTCGACAACATACTATCCGAGAAGCCAATAACCAACCTCCACTGATCCCAGAAGACCTCTACCACGACGTCAAAACTCCACTTCAATCCGGTCAGGTCACACCAGATGCGTTGGAAGTTGAGGATGAGCGCGTGGTTCGACCCACCAAATATCGCACAGGAGTGCTTGGTACCTTGATGAAGATGTCAAGCAACGCGGGAGCCCCTCCAGCTCGCAAGAACACTCTTCACCGAAGTCTCAGTACCGGCACATTCAGCGGTGCGTCGACTGCAGCCAACTCCCCGAACCCCTCACCGCCCGTCTCCGGATACTCAACTCCACGTGGAGGTCGCTCTTGGTTCCGAAATCACCATCACAATCAATCAGTTGCGTCCGTCTCCCAGTTGGTTGGAGCATCGGCACATAGCTTTGCTACGCCTGCGCAGAAAGAGCTTGGTCAGGAGTTGGATGAACAATACAAGAAGACCCGCCCTGGCATGGGAAAGCGGTCCAAATCGGACGATTCCATATTGCCGTTCAAGAGGAATAGGAGAAAGGAAGAAGAGATCAGGATCAAGATCCACCTCGCTGGTACCTTGGCGCGCCAGAACTATCTCCGCAAGCTTTGCAAGGCGCTCATGATGTACGGTGCGCCTACTCATCGTCTGGAAGAGTACCTGAGCATGTCTGCTCGTGTCTTGGAGATTGAGGCACAGTTCTTGTACATGCCCGGCTGCATGATCATCGCCTTCGATGACTCTTCCGTTCACACTAGTGAAGTCAAGCTTGTTCGTACCAGTCAGGGTGTCGACCTTGGCAAGCTTCGCGACGTGCATGAAATCTACAAAGATGTCGTTCACGACCGCATCAATGTTGAAGAAGCTACACCGCGTCTCGATGCCATCATCAATCGCAAGGCCAAGTTCAACAAGTGGCTTAGAGTACTTCTGTATGGATTGGCATCCGCCACCGTCGGGCCGTTTGCCTTCCAGGCTCGGTTCATCGATCTTCCTTTTTGCTTCCTGCTCGGCTGCATCATTGGATGGTTGCAACTAGTTATCGCCCCAGGCAATGACCTCATTAGCAACGTCTTCGAAATCGGCGCATCAGTCATTACCAGTTTCGCGGCGCGGGCTCTTGGGTCTATCAGACACGATGGCAAGGAAATCTTTTGCTTCAGTGCCATGGCGCAGTCCAGTATCGCCCTTATTCTACCCGGTTTCATGGTTCTCTGTGCCTCGCTCGAGTTGCAAAGTAAGCACATTGTCGCTGGCTCAGTTCGCATGGTCTACGCAATCATCTACTCCCTCTTCTTGGGATTCGGCATCACCATTGGTACAGTCTTGTACGGAATGATGGACAAGAACGCAACCTCGCGCACAACATGCCACGACCCCATGTCGACAAACTTCTACTATCTCTTCGTTCCCGCATTTGCGATTTGCCTTCAGATTGTCAACCAAGCCAAATACAAGCAGATGCCTTCCATGACCATCATTGCATTCATCGGATGGATTGTCAACTTCCAGAGCTCCAAGTACTTCAAGAACAACGCGCAAGTCAGCAACACCCTAGGCGCTCTTGCCATTGGTATTGCAGCCAACGTACATGCTCGTTTTGGTCGTCACATCGAGAACTGGTGCCTTGATACATGGGAGATCAAGATGCGACCTCACTTCGTGAAGTTCCGCAAGATGTATCTCAGGAAGAGCCACGGACCGCTTCGCACCCACAAGGTGGAGCGCTCAGCTTATGATCCTACATCCACTAGCAGTGGCCACACTTCAAGGGCTAGCTCCATCAGCGAGTTCACGCCTCACACTCGCAAGATTGGGTATGGATTGGCCGCTGCTGCCATGTTACCAGCCATCTTTGTTCAAGTCCCCTCTGGTCTCAGTGTGCAAGGGTCGCTTGTATCTGGCCTGATATCGGCTGATCAAATCGTGCGCAACAGTACTGGAAACGCCACAACAATCAGCGGTGCCGATGTTGGCATGGGCAGCTCTATAAATTCCATCGCACTTGACGTCGGTTTTTCTGTCGTGCAAATTGCGATTGGTATCACCGTTGGCCTTTTCCTTGCCGCGCTCATTGTGTACCCACTTGGCAAGAGGAGGTCAGGTCTATTCAGTTTCTAGAGCAATTGTGTTGGGTTGGAGAGTTTCTTTGGAACATAGATTTTTTTTACAGTGGCCATTGTATAGGCTCACTCTATTATTTTGTTTAAAAAGCAAGCGAGTCATGCATTTACATGGAGTTTGGAGTTTCTTTTCGTGTTGCCAACCTACAACGACGCAACGAACGATCTATAGAATTAGATAACACGATTCAACACACATTTTTCCACTACACACAATGCATGCATCACTTCTGCACAAAAGCTTCTGCTCACCGCACTTTTCTCTCGCTTCAAGTCTGCGCTTTTGCCACTCTGACGATGACATCACCAGACATATCTTGGCATTTGGCTCGAAAGGATGCACTTCCGAATTGGGTTTAGTAAATCCCGCGGCTTTCGCGCAAACGCATTCTGCCTACGTTGAGAATTCCCGTGTCTCCACCACGAACTTATGCAACAGCGGGATGGGAATGTACGAGATATGCGTATGCCGACGTGTCACATGTGGGACGCTCCGCAATGTCGCTTGCAGCGGGTCACTGTTGTATGGGGACAAGCAGCGGGTTGCCGTTTCTTCTGTCAGTGTAAAGTGATCACCGTGTATAGTTTCTTGTTGGAAAACGCGCATAGCATAGACTTGGAAATGAAGGCGTAAGTGTATAAATATTTCTTATGCATATTAACTGCCCTTCCAAAAGTTTCGCAAAGATAGAAAGAGAAAAAAACAAAACAAAATCCAGCGGACTATCTGTGCCATGTCTTGATACTCTTGGCTATGTAGCTGAATAATGTCGATTACCAAGCTCGCTGTCCACGCATCCCCGAAATACAGTTACAACCCCCAGAATTCATATACAAAAAACCAACATAAAACTATAAAATCAACCCCAAATCCCCCATTTCACCCACAACCACAATGACAATAACCCAACTCCTCACCTTCACCCTCCCATCCCCGCACCACGACACCCTCCCCACCTCAAGCAATCAAAAAAACCACCAAACGTCTCCATAGGCACCCACATCCAAACCCCAACCACCCTCCAACTAACCTCCCAACACCCAGACATCACCTCCGCAACATCCCCCTACCTCGCAAACATCTTCTCCACCCTCGGCACACCCCAGAAAACGTACAATCTAGCTTTCTCCCATGGCACCCCGATATTCAGCAAGAACGGCGCAATGTCCTCGCCCCTGCTCGAATTCGTGAAAGTTTCTTTTCCGGCTGAGCAAGCTACGCCGGAGTTTCGCAGGGGTATCGAGCGTGATTTCGAAGTTTTCGACGAGAAATGCGTGGCTGTTGCTCGGGGAAATGGGGGCGTGGCGTTTGGGTGGGGGGTTGATGAGGAGGAGGCGGATGAGGGGGGCAAGGCGGTGGGGTTTTTTGTGGTAAGGGGGTGGGAGGGGATGAGGTGTTTTGAGGAACTGGTGGGTACGAGTGATTTTAAGGGGGCGATTGAGGGGTTGAAGGGGTGGGGGGCGCCGATGGAGATGTGGTTTGTGCAGAGAGAAGGGTAGGGTGGGAGATCATGAGATGCGGTATGATTCTCACTCAGATGCCTGACTTTATTTGGATCTTAATGTGGGTGCTTAGATGAAGGTAGAAGTGATCCCCTATTGATACAAATGCCCCTCAATCGGAGGCTCGACTGGAAAACTAGTAAAACAACAATGCCCAACATGCTCATCCCTACTAAACTGTGCGTTATATTCATGACTAACCACACCCCATTGCACTGGCAGGACACTAGCATCACTGTCTTCCTTCGGCGGATGGCACGCAGCGCTGATAGCCGCTGAGTTGCTAGCCGCCAGTGGCATTCCTGAAGGGAAACGTATCCTACTAATAGCAATGCCAGTTCCCGCTATAACAGTCGCAACAACCATCGTCAGAATGATAGGAACGGGTGAGTATCCGCATGTCGAGATCTGGTCCTTGACTCGCCGTGTGTACATGTCGGTAACAGAAATCTGTACCTTGAATAAACTTTGCGAGGCGAGCCAGTGGAAGAGGCCAGATACCAGCGTCACTGGTATTGCGTAGCGGTACGGCACGCCGAGCCAGTATGTATGGCGCTGCTGGCCTACAGGCGATGTGACGCGCAAGGGCTTACGCTGCACGCTGTAACTCGCCCATTCCGACGAGATGAACATGGTTGTGTAGAGCGCGTTAAAAGCGAGATACATGTAGGAAAGGAGCGCTTGGGGCGTATTAGCGAGGAGTACGCCGCCCATAAGCGATGTGTCAAAGTTGAGTAGGTTGTTGCCCTGGATGACGCCAAATCCAGTTTCCCACAACCTTTTTAGGTCTCGGGGCATGCCTTTCAATGCGAGAACTGTTAGGGGAATGCCAGCCACGAACAAGGCACTGTAACTGTAGGGGAAATAACGTGAGTTTCTTTGCTTCGAGAGGATGAAGAGTAGACTTACGACCAGTACGTAGCAACCCATCTCCTTTCACTAGGCGCCATTGCCCATGTACGTCTTCTTGACCTGAACTTTCTCCGATCTCTTTTCATTGCCATGTGTGGGTTGTCCATTGCCCATTGGTTCCAACTCCACCATAACTCCACATGGCGCCGGGTTTGCAGACAACGTCCGCTCGTCGAGGGGTCCGGGTTATCAAGAAAACTGGCAATGGCATCCCCAATCGTGACGAATGCGGCATGACCTCCGCATTTCCAGAGGGTAATAGCCATACAAGTAGCCTTTACCAAGTTGGCTATAATAACCAGAATCGCAATTGTAAAGCTGAATTGTAACTCGCAAAACTCGTCGACCTGTTCAACAAGACAGTATGATAGATCGCTTCCGTACGGCTTCCATTGCGATCTATCCCGCGGGATCTCACTTTCGTCGCCCGGATCGCCTGATTAATGCAGTTTCATTAGTTTCGCTCTTAGATTCATACATGCATTTGACATCGCTTACATCCTGTTGATGTGTGTGATTGACATCGCCATACATTAGATGGGTATCTGCGGGGTGAGCTTGGAAAGGGGAGGGTAGCGTTGAAGTCCACTCGCTGGTAGCTGGGATCCCGTTCGTCTTTGCTCGACGAATCGTTTGTTGTTTGCGCCCATTCAAAACCTCCCAGTTCTAATCGGTGGAGTTCCCATTTATCGGGGTTTCTCCATACTGTTGGCTGTGCTTGAACCAAGTAGGCATTACCAACGTCGGAAATGTAGTGACTACCGTACTTAGTGAAACACTCCGCTGCAGTCATGTTTCGGTACATGGGTACAGTAGTCCCGTTGCTCAATTTCACGGTGTCGTCAATCTCGATGCGATACGGCTCGAAGTCCTGTATCCAGGTTTTGTTCCGCAGACTCTCAATGTCCGTGAAATTGTCGAAATTGTCGAAATTATACTCCCTTCCTTGAATCCAATCTTCCATAGTAGGCAGCACAAAATATTCATTTGCCTGTAGCTGTGTAAAGACGACAGAGTTGAACAAGAGGTGCAATGGTACCGAAGATAGAAACAGGAAAATATAAATGACGACGCGATTTCGCCGAATATACCGCAGATTGCGGAAATTCGGGACACCGATATGCAACCAACGACGCTGAGCGTGGGCGCGATCGACTTCTTCTCTGTTTGGAGCTGCGAGGACTTGCATAACGTAGTTGCTGCCGCACAGCAGCATAGTACTGAGGACCTTGCTGTGTCGTAAGCAAGATAGTCTTAGATGCGAATAGATAGCTTACATTGACAAGCAGATGTATCCTGACATTCATGTTTCGGACAACCGCACAGTTTCCGCGATACATTGTGCCGATTGCACCATTGGCCTGGAAGCTAGGATTTGCCCAAACCCAGATGGTGATGCTGAGGTTGAAGACGAAGACGAAGACGGCTCCGATCAATGAGATGAGTGCGCCAGTACGCCATCCGGAGGGGAGAAATCTCGGTTTAGATAGCCTGACATGATGACTGCTGTGTTCTTGAGGAAGCAGATGGCCGCGGTCGTCTGATAGTTGTTCGGTGGTCTTCGCAGAATGGAGTAGCTTTACGAAAGGCTGGCTGCGTTGACCGTCAATCGTAAAGTCATTACTGCTTCGGATACTCGAAGGCCTTTGTCTGAATTAATGCTTAGAGAGTGCTGGGACTGTGAGGTGACATACAAAGCCTTACCGATACCCATAAGGCTGGAGTAGCTCGATGTCGTTAGGATTTCTACCGGCATTAGTGGCGCGACGAAGCGATTCGTACATTACCACTTTGCGATGCAGAGCAAGGTCAAGTTCGTTGATGGATGTCTGATTACTACGGTCCGAATGTCTAGGGTAGGTCGACACTAAGGCGAAAGTTCGTCGAGTCAACTTCGGTTACATGTGAATCAGGCCGCCAGTGGGGGCCGATGCCCAGCACGATCTGCGCCATGCTTCGAATTTCTGTAGCCAGTTGTACGCGAGGATATTAAGCATTGAGGGGTGAGTGCGCCTTGCCTAGGTAGAATGTCGCCGCCAAGCCCCCCGGTGGCTGATCGGGTAAAGTCATCATTGGCAGTGTCAGAAGGCGTCCACTGCAGCGAAGTGTGCAACAACAATAGGCCACATATCTCAACTACCCTCAACATCCTATTCAATCATCCTGAAGGTCTCACTTGATTGACTTGATGAACTTAGTACAGAATACTAAGCCGTAGATCTCAGCCACTCCCGGTATTCCATGTCAACATACCCCCTGTTGGCCACCATCAAAAATACGTGTGAAAGCAAGCAGTTGAAATTCGATTTCGTTTGAAATGAGAAGAAATTGACTGTTCTTAAAATAATACATACAATAAAAGGTAAAGAGTGAAAGGCTGAAACAAGAAATCGCCAGACAATCGCACAAAAAAGCAGTACAGAACTCGTCTCCCTCACAGACACTATTTGTAGGAAATCTTGAAGGAAGACGTCTCAGCAACGTCATAGTCCTGCGGCCGGTCTGGGTCACCAAAGATATGCAACGCTGAAACACGGAACTTGTAACTACCCGCTGGGACAAAAGATTTATCATCCAGTTGTCCGTTCCAAGTAAAGGGGAAAAAATCCACGGCTAGTGTGATTGAACGGTGAGCCCGCGGCGTGACCAAGATTGACTGACTGTTTGCTGGTTGACACAATTTGGATGTTGAGAAGCGGGGATCCAAATACAAAGTCAACAGCAGCAACTGGAAGGTCGTCGGTGATAAGATCGATGTTCGCCCTATCGGCCTGTGGGAATACGAAGGTCGAATTGGTATTGTTAAAGGGCGGATAGTCAGGGCCGCTGTTGGAGTTTGATAGGTACGTTCCGTTCATAACAATCACAGAATTGAGGTCTCCAACAATGCCTTGGTAGGGGATAGAAAGCCTTTCGCCGTTTGTACCGTTGATCCGGATATATCCTCCGTACACTGGGAGTCGACTAATAGGAACTGACGGGGGTGTAACCTTGACAGCGATTGTAGTTTTTCCACCTGCAGGGATGGTAACTTTATAGTCGCTTAGGTCCACTTTTGCGAAGGAGCCGTCGAGGTCGGGGGGCGTAGCTGGCCTGATACTACCAGAGAATGTGTAAGCAGTAGCAGCGCCAATAACGTCTAGCTCATAGGTGACGTCCTTATCCTCAGTATTAGAGATAGTAAAGGTTTCGCTAGTCAATCGAATGGTATCGTTGAAAGCAAGACCTGGACGGCTTAATACTGTAGTGGCATAGGCCGCGTCATACGCTTGGATCAGTCCAGCTCCTTGTTGCGCAGGAGGCGCAATTAAAGCGCTCATATTACCATTGGATTGAACAGGCTTAGCTGTACTGGCAAGTAGATTTTGAAGCTCGATGGGTTCGAAGGTGTTCCGTACGTTTGATAGGAGGGCGTATATAGCGGCAGCAAGTGGGCAGGCCATGGAAGTACCAGACAGTATGGCGTAAGAACCCAAGGCAACAGGCCACGTTGATATGATCTTCCCACCCGGAGCACCAAATGAAGGCTTTATTTCGGCTTCAAAAGAAGGTCCCCAGGAAGTATAGGAGCTTACATGTCCGCCAGTGCTGTTGTTAGGGGGCTGTTCAAGCGTGACTGGGCTGGTGGCGAAACCAGTGAAATCCAACGTGACAACCTTTCCTGCGGCCAGATCTGCGAACCACTTAGTGCCTAGCGTGGCAGGGACCATACCAATACCTAGGAAGCCTGGAGATGGCTCGAGGTTGATGTTCCCTTCATTAGTGTTCGGCTTGTTCGAAACCATGATGTAATTGGCCCCGAGCTTCAATGCGCTTTGCACATTTGAATCAACGCAGTCGTTGAAAGGGAGAAGAATGACTTTACCAGCAAGGTCCGTCGTATTACCAGAAATAGGACCGCAAGCATTCGCAGTCTGATTGCTGTTCAATGGTGGAGTCCACAGTGGTAGTACATCGGCGCCTGTCCAATTGCCTGGTTTGCCTGGAGCCCATTTGAAGCTCTGCTTTGTTTCGTTGGAAACGGAATAAGAGGACTGCGTCAGTAATACAGGCGCCAAAGTGTTCTCGTAAGAAGCAATAGCAGCAACACCGTTTCCTCCAGCTGGGGAACTTGCTTGAAACAATCCTTGGTCACCAGAGTTCCCAGCGGCGACGATAACAATAACGCCCTTGGCAACGATTCGGGAAGCAATAACGTCAGGGAAACTCTCACTCCATCCGCCAGACGATCCAAGAGAGGCAGTGATGATATGAGCCCCATCTTGTTGTGCGCGAAGGAAGCCAGCTGTGACAACGTCATTACTAGACGAACCATTGCAACCGAATACCCGGTAGGCTGCTAGGCTGGCGCCCTAAGATAGATCCATTAGAAGACTTGTTTCATAGCCCTTGAAGAAGCCCTTACAGGTGCAGCCCCTATGAACCCATATTTATTTTCTTGGGCAGCGATAATACCAGCCACGTGTGTACCGTGTCCCTAATTTAAGTTCAGCCTATGAATGCAGCTCTCGAGGAAAGGGCATATACAAAACAATCCTTTGGATCACCACCAGGAATAGGAGTATTTGATCCGTTGTACGCATCACCAACGAAATCATAACCACCGACAACTAAGCAATCGGCTCCGAGGCATCCACCGAGTGCTGGGTGGGTATAATCAATCTAGGTCAAGGTCAGTAGTTATATCTAGAGCACATAAAGCAGAGTCTTTAGCATCTCGTTCCATTGGCAAGGGATCAACGTCAGCCCGGCCGGGGTACGAGGTTAAGATGATCTCTAAGATCTTGGGAACAGTTGTACTGCGGGACTGGGTCACTTCACTTGAACGAGCCTGCTCATACTGCTGGCTCTAACTAGGATACTTACTCCAGTGTCAACAATTGCGATTTTAACTCCTTTACCAGTGATGCCCTTTGCGTGTAACTTGTCGACTTGGGTCATAACGTGGGGCGAGTATGTCTGATTGCCTTGGAGGTCTCTGGCCACGAGTTGGGATGAGCTCGCTAACCCAGATGATTCAACCCCTCCAACCTCATGTTTAGGTATAGAGATAATCGTCTTGGGCCAAACGTTTTTGATGGCTGGATGCGAAATCAATGAAGACATGTGTTCATCAGAGGATTTATCGTTGTTGAATTGAACAGTAGCGCCCTTGAATAGATCGTAATTCCAGTCCAGTACCTTGGTAACGTCAAGAGTCTTGAGGGTGGATGTACGTAGCTAGGAGTATTTAGCATAATTCATTCATTTTTGAGTTAAGCATTACCCCGACCCCGGGATCCTCATATTCGACAATGAAAGTACGTGGAACAACCTGTTGCTGTTCTAATCCAGCAACAGCTCCCAGAAACAGTGGTAAAAGGTATGATTTCCAACCCATGATGAACGGTGGTGGAAAAAAGTAAGAGATCGTGTGAAAATGAGCGGACACGCACCAAACGGGCGTAGAATAAGAGAGTGTTGAAGAAGAAATTTGCATCGACACTACATCGTGAGAAAGCTGAAGTTGTTGAGGCAGACCTGGCCCACTTGCATTGAATAAGGGGTCCCAGATATATGACTACCTGTAAGCGCTAGCACTAAAGTGTGAGGTCATAATCGTAACGATATGTTGCCTACTGCTTGCAGTTATTGCATTACGCAGTAGGTCCGATAGCGAAAGTCAATTTACATACCCCGCGTCTCCGAGGAAAATCCCATGTGTTGATCTGCCCGATGCATGGCTGCCATTTTTAGCGTAAAAAGAGGTATAACAGCACGTACTGTGAAGAGGTACGTGTAATATCTATATTGACAGCGATTGATCATAAGAAGGGACAGCAGAAGAACTTTATGTATCAACGAGCAAAACGTTTCGCCGAACAATCTATAAGAGGGCGGCTTATAGTTTCGCTTTTGTAAAGAATTAGTGCCTAATGTATCGCAAAGACGTAGCGCTTACAGTTAATCTACTGGATTAATTTTTGTAATCTACCTAGGGCTTGCCAACCACGGCTTCGGGAAACAATGATTCCTAAATTGTTTTGTCCGCGAGGTAGTGAGAAGAGTCTAGGGGCGCTGGTCTCACTACTACCATCTTTGTTCGCTGTCTTGCTTAACTTAACATAAGATTCGGGTCATGTTACACCTACTACAAGACAGGGCTAACAAAAATTTTATTCTTGGTGAGGATAAGAGTGAGGCTGCTTTTATATAGCGAGGTTCGCGCACGAAAGAGTACGCCAGGATATCTAACAAAAAAACGTATTACACAAGACCTAGCAACTAAAATCGGTGAGAGTTTGTTTCGATATTTTGGCGAAGTAACTCGCGGTCAAGGAGGATAGATCAGATAGATGAAAAGGTAGAGAAAGAGGGAAATGGGAAGAACGATAATCATAACACTAACACACATATATACCCAATAACCAACAGTATTGCTACATGAATACCATTCAGACAAGCAATATGATTACTGTATATGCCTCGATCGCACGCGTATAGGGGAGCGATGAATGTTCCAACATTTCAGCGCTACCAAAGCTCAGCGCTGCTCAAGCGCACCCCTCAAGCCCTATCCTCGACAACCGGATTCAGGAAAGTTCTAATAATGACGAAAAAAAAGGTAATCGATTTAGATGGCTAAACATGTTTCCAAAAGAAGAAACTGGGAAAAGGAACAGGAACAGGGGCAATAGCATACGGGACCGAGTAACTGGGTTCTATTACAACACGGGGAAAAAGGGCCTTGTAACAACCAGGATTCCGAACGAGGGAATTTAGAACTACTAGAAAGGGGAAAGTAAATAGTAGTAGTCAATCTGATCGAGCCCTAGTCAAGAAAGAAATTCATTTGCAAAGTTAGAGAAAAACAAAGCCTTGGTACAGTCAGCAACATGGTGCAATACTATAAGAGAAAACATAAACAAGTTTAACACACAAAAAAGAAGAGGATGTACACAACTAAAGGGAAGAAAACGTGCAAAGTAAATGATTACTAATTTCATTTTCATGGCATCATTAATTGTGGTATACCAAACTCAACGCTGTGCTCGAAACCTCCCCCATCAGCCCCACTTCATCCCCACAAATAACTTACACCGACCCCCTCCTCACCCTACTAACAGCACTCGGCGTACTCGTAGGCGGCAACGGTACAAACTCCTCCGTATGCGTCGCCTTGGCCGTGCCATTCGTGCCATACCCACTCGTAACCACCTGACTCCCATCCGCAATAACCACATGATCGAGCACGCGCCTAAAATGCTCTAGACTAGCTTCCGGCTGATAGTACGGCACCTCATGCCCGGCCTCGTACATTCTCGTGAAGCTGAAATTGCCATACTCGCGCACCTCGCCGTACTCGACGCCATCGACGAGAAAGGGCGTGTAGCCCGCAGCGCGGAAGGCGTCGGCGTGGGTGAAGTTGACGGCGAGGGAGACGGCTTCGCCGCCGAACCAATTGCAGATGTAGTCTGCGTCGCCGTAAAGGAGGGCGACGCGGACGCCGTAGGAGAGGATTTCTTCGAGGTCTTCGAGGAAGTTGGGGAAGACGAAATCGCCGGTGCGGCCGAAGCCGGTGAACACGGAGCTGGAGCTGGCGCTGGTGTAGTTGATGTTTACGCCGAGAGCTTCTTGGGTTGAGGCGAGGTTCAGGAAGGATTGGAAGTAGTCGGGCGGCGTGGGGTCGTCGTAGGGGTGGCGGATGTCGTAGACGCCTCGGCCTCCGAATGCGTAGTATGGCTCTTCGACGAGCGATCGGCAGAGGTTGGTGGCGGATGCACATGTTAGATAGCCGTCTACGGTGGTACGATCGGACTGTCTGCAGTATTCAATTTGGTCGTGGCAGCCTTCTGGCATGTAGTAGGCGTTCTTCATGAAGGTGTAGACTGTGTCGTTGACTGATTTGATACCATACGTGTTGTTGACGGCGAACTCGGGGTAGTAAGGAGCCTGGATCTGCTCATCGACAATTCCGTTGATTATACCAAGAGTGTCCATGCGAAGCTCAACACCAGGGGAAGACCCGTTCTTGATTTTCTCATTTTGCTGGTAAAAGTAGTTATAGAAAGCAGGGCCGTAATGACCGCCGTAGCTAGAAACTAGTTAGCAACGCAATTTCTAGTATCGATGCGGATTTACCAACCTCTCAGTCCAAAGATTGAATGTAAAGTTAGTGATATCCGGGTCGAGCTGGGGGCTCAGGTCCAAGAAAGCCTGGAGAATATGCCACGCACCGATGGCTGCAGCATCGGTAGTGTTTGTGGTATTGGGATCAACAAGCGAGTATCGACCCTGTGCATCAGTTTCTGTGGTCTCGTAGGAAAAACCTACACCAACGGGCTGCGAGAGATACAGCATATTGCTGTGCTCATTCCATGAATACGGATTAAGTTGTGTCTTCAAATCCTTGGTAACATTGCATGGGCCATGCTCTTGAAAGAGACCGATGAGCGAGTCACTTCCTGGTCCACCGTTCAACCATAGTGTCTGACGACAAAGTTAAAAGTTGCCACCAAGTTTTGAGTTGAAGTATGGGTTGTACTTACCAACGGCTTTTCGGAAGGGTTTTCACGCGCCTCGAAGAACCAGAAGAACATATTGGTAGTAGGATTGAGACTGATGTAGCCGGCATAATCGTCGACACCTTCAGTAGTCTCACAAACTCCCTCCTTGCCAGGCTGCTTGTAGCGAATCTCGGCACCCTGGGCAGACTTGATGGTAGTGACGCCAGTAGGATCCGCAGGGACCTGACGCTCAGTGATGAATGACTTGCGAGCATGACTGAGCGTCGCTGCTGCCAAGACGGCAGCAATCTGGGTGAAGCGCGCCATGGTGAAAAGCTTGTCGTGAAGAAGGATGACCAAGGCTTGAGCAGTGGGCTTGCCGAGAAGGCCGCTTCTCTCGGCCTTCTTAAATACGTTGAATCCGAACGAAGCTAAGCCACTTAATAACATGGAGTGCTCTTGCTATGTGCATTTCTTTCCGCCTGTCATGGTTGAGCACTGCATCGAGGGTAGGCCAAATGCGATATGTGGGTAGCCGTACAGTAGATTAATCTGAATCAGGCAACTGGAAAGCAAGACTGATCATTGCGATTGGCCGGATAACACGGGTATGAAGATCTTACGAGTAATGCGTTAAGACAACGATACTACTTCGTTGCCGCGGTTGGATGTTATGCCACCGGCCACAAACCATGGCTCATGACAAACACCACCTTGTCGAAAATGCAACCTGTGCTGCAGTTTCGCAATCATTGAAACTGCTGTCTGGGGCATTTTTTCATCATGGTAAGCAAGTGCCGGTTCGCATCTTTCTCCAATGTTGTCGAACATGCTATACGTGATGCCCATGTAGCCAGCGCGCATCAAATAACGCATCTTACCCAAACAGGAAGCTCGTTATGCGCAGCGGGAGAACAAGGCCTCTTGCCAAGTCGTTCGGTAAGCCGAAAAAAGCTTATTAACGTCATAGTTGTAGCCTCACACTGGAGGTTGGGGCACAGTTGAAAGCGTTGTGGCGTGTTGGGCCGTTGCAAAAGGGGAGAAGAGGCCGCCAGCTCCGCGTGACATGGATATTGACGGTGTGCAACGCTAGCTGCAGTCGGCAGGTCGGCACCCATCCATTATCGCGACAGGGTGCTATTTGGTCTGTAGTACAGTTCGTGATACAAGGGTCTAATGTTCTCAACTTAAGCCGTCTCGGTACAATCTGGCTGTTGACCGGAAACTCGTGTCGAGGTGACTGGGTACTACACTGGCAAAGTGCATGAAAAAAAAGAAGTACCACCCAAAATCACAACAGTCCATCCCGCACTCCTCCCTCGGCATCGAAAATCTCAATCAATCTCTCAAGCTCTGCTCCTCCTCCGCCTCATCTCCTCCACATCACCCCCAAAAAACCGCGCAATCTCCTCATCCAACTCCCTCCCCACCAGCTTCTCCATCTCCCTCGCCCTCTTCACAGGACTAACCCCCATCTGATTCGCACTAGCAAAAATGACATCCAGCTCCTCCAAACTGCGTCCTTTTGGCTCAGGAAAAAAGAAGTAAACGCTCGGCACGATCGCCGCATTAAACACAGCAAACATGGTATACGTATTGTACGACAAGTTTGCAAAAGCCGGAGGCGTAATCATAACAATGAGAAAGTTGGAGAGCCAGTTTGAACAGGTGGACAGGGCGTTTGCCTGGATGCGAATGCGCAGGTTAGTGATTTCGGCGGGGTACAGCCACGACATGCCGAGCCAGCCGATGGCGAAGAAGGTGTTGAAGCCGAACATGAAGATGACGGCTGTAATGCCGTATCGCGGCTCTAGAATGGGAGCGCCGAATTCGTCGGGTGTGGCGGTCGAGGTCATGCCGCTCATGATGGCCATGCTGGCCATTTGGCCGAGGGCGCCGAAGAGCATGAGTTTGCGTCGACCCACGCGTTCGATTAGGGGGATGGCGATGAGACCAGCGAGGAAGTATTCCGTTCCGTTGCAGGCGGAGAGAAGGCGAGACATGTCTGGACCGAAACCTAGTGAGTTTTCGAAGACGTAGGTTGCATAGTATGTCTAGAAAAGTATGGTCACTATGTGAATCAAGATGGAAGTCAACCGGGTACTTACAATAAGGTTGATACCACTGATTTGCTGGAAGAACTGCGACACGATGCCCAGTGTAGTGCGTCTAAGGTTCTGACTCGGGCCGTTGTGCAAGAGTTCCCTCATTTTGAACGGGCCGTCTTTGCTCTGCGCTTCGAGTGCATCAATAATGTTAGTAAGCTCTGTCTCTACTTCTTCGGAGTCGATAGGTGCGCCAGCAAGACGAGCAAGAAGTTCACGAGCTTCAGCGTAGCGGCCGCGCATAACGAGCCAACGTGGTGAGTCTGGCAAGTAGAGGAGAGCGATCCTAGTACAAGATTAGCTTTGGTTAATTTGATGCTGAGGGATGGACATACATGACGAGAATGGTGAAGAGCGATTGGAACATGATTGGAAATCTCCACCTCACAGAGCTGTAGCTCTCGCCTGATGGGACAAAGTAGAAGCCATATGTAACCCAGTATGAGATCATGACACCAGCCACAATAACCGCTCCAGATGTGATAATCAAGCGTCCTCGCTTTTCGGGTTTCGCGCATTCGGATTGCCAGGTGGGTATCGCTATACGGATGTCAGTCTCTTACAAAGAAGTATCATAGCCTCGATGCTTACTCGCCGTGACCATGCCATTTCCGATTCCTCCTACAACCCGTCCAATGCAGAGCAAAGCATAGGCTCCAGAATTCCCGCCGTTAGCACCTCCAGGTGCAACTTGGAGTATAGTTCCGATGATCATGATAAGACTGCCCCAAAAGCTACTACTCTTCCTGCCCCAGATCTCGCCGTAGAACAAGATGAGAACGGCACCTAGAAAGCACCCAATTTGGTACACAGCAACGGCAGCTGAGAGGATGCTCGGGCTTCCTGTACACATGTCTGGGTTGGGGATGGTGTTGGTCGGTGCATCAAGCCAGCACAAGTTGTTCTGGCGCTCGCGAGATGTCATAAGAGGGAAGTGGCGTTGGAAGTCATCGAGAGTCAAGACACCAGATAAAACACCTTGGTCATATCCGAACATGAGGAAGGCGAGACACGAGCACCAAGCGATGGCGTTGTTGAGTGCCTTGCCTTGGAGGCGACCGTGTCCAGGAACGTTCCATTCTGGTAAATTACCAAGTTTGGAGAACAAACCTGAGGCTGAGTCTGACTTCTTTGCTGCTTCTTGTTGCTCGATTAAACGTTGGGGTAATGTTTGGGACTGGTAATAATCTATATCATCGATGCGGGAGTCAGGAGAGTGCTCGGAACGCTTCTCAGTCGACTTTTCGGGATCCATCTTGAGAATTTGAAAGGCGACCAAAACACAGTCGAACAAGAAACGAGAAAAATGCTAGTAGATCTCATTTTATACTACGATTTGCGTCTGCTAGTTCGACACTTTTGCCAGATACACGACACAGCCAAGACTGAACATGCTCCGCCTTTCCCCGGCAAGTTCAACCCCAGCCTTGGCTCTTACATAGATGGGGAATTTGGGTATAGGAAAAGACCTCAAGTTACGTAGTCCAAGTCTTCAGGAAGTCGGCACGGCCTAGTCGGGTAACCCGGCATCACGATAGAGGCTTGTCGACCAGATTAGCTCCAGCCAAGAGACGATGAAAGCAGCGGAGCGGAGCTCTGATCTTGGCAGATAACCTCGTCTCGATGTGTCACAAAAGCGAGTCGGTACATAGGCTCGGGGATAGCATCGAAGAAATTGTGGGACGCGAATTTGAGCACGTGGACGTCGATGAGTAGGCGAAGACATAGATGTAAACGGGAAATGAGGTGCGGCTTATTTCAGACATATGGTTCTGATGTATGCGTGTGCTGTATCTAACGCCAGCCCATGCGAATATTTGGTACATAGTTGTACAAGGCTTTGTCCCGCTTCGTATGAGGCTTTGGACAGCCTGATGAGTATCACAGTTGCCGGGTTCTGTGTCTCGTACAGGCGGCAATCCACGGCGTCCGCCCCCCCGCAACTCCATTCGAGAACCCAGTCGATATTTTCGCCCCCAAATTTTTGCTAGAATTATCGCATGCGGTGGTATCGTGTAAAGTGTGTGATGTTATTTCTTGCCGCGTTTAGCTTCGAGGAAAAGAACTTGTTTCCGAACTGCCAGGTTATCAGCCATCATTCGACCATCACATTGCCATCAAAGTAGCCTCCACGTTTCCTTCCTATTGCATATGTCCGAAATTATAGAGGGAACATTTTTCAGGCAGCGGTGGCTTCGATCTTGTCGTCAGGATTGATAGTAGAGAGGTCTCGTACCGATAGGATCGTATTTAAGCATGCTCAGTGGCTGGTGGGCGCGCGGTCTTTGCATGGTTCGGTAGTATCCCGTCATTGCCATTGATATGAGGCGCACCATGATGGTACGGGACTTTGCTGTAGAGCGCTCCGGTCAGCGCATATACGGTGCAAACTTGCGACGGGCGCGGGGGAACGTTGACCGGCGATCGGGAGTGTAGGACGGCGACAATGGGCACGTCCTGAAGTTGCAGGTGTTTCGCATACCTTTCTTCGCCATGGCGACGCGCGAGTATATATCGTGTCGGCGTCAATGGTGGTTGTGTCCAAGGTGGATAGTTTGGTGTTGTGAAGCCGAAGTTCTGCGGCGTTGCCCTTGTCAGCCAATGAGCGTTGATTGAGGTCTCCATCGCCACCATTCGCCTCCGCCTCACTCCACACTCAGGAATCAGTTGCGATATATGATTAGATCATAAGACTGTCCCACTTTCGACCAGGCTTTAAGGCTCTTCAGTGAACTCTTCAGACTGCAGGTATACGAGAAAATAGTTTTTTGATAATTTTTGCTATGTAATATCCCTGTCTCGCCGCGTTTGCTAGTCATGCTCAGTTGATATATGCCTTCGATCATGTCCGCTCACTGTTATTCCTTGTAAGAACTTCTCCTTTTCTTCATAATCTTATACTGCATACTGATATCCCTGCCAGAATTTCCAATATCATGAAAAAATACTTGCCGTGGAACCGAAAATATAGTGATAGGTTGTGTCGGATGAACAATGTGCCTCCTATTGATGTCGCAAAAGATTGATAAGATTGGATCCTAATATCCTCATGTGCCTAGTGTTAATCTTTTATTTTCCTTTTGCCAGGGTAGCCTACACACTGGCTTGACATGTCTCCGTTGAGTGACCCCAGCGGTCAGGCGAAAAGCGCAATGATACGCACGTCATACCCGGGCGCCAAAGGAAGATGTGTCGAACGATCAGTGCCATCCTTGTAGCTCCTCATTGAATCTGTCACTAAAATCATCTCTGAAGGCGGTACCGTTTCTGCCTAAACCTACAAGTTAATAGCTCTTACATACTGAAGATCTAAGAATCCGCTATACTCACTCTTACTACGTGCGACTCGAGAAGAGCGCCGCGTTGGTAGAGCAGTAGATGGCTGCGAAGATCCTTGTCGACGGGATATATAAGCCTTTTCCGGAGAAACTTGGGTGTGAGTACGACTTTGAGTCTCAAAAGAACGGTCCTGGGACCTTGGATGGGGCGATTTCGAGGGAGTGCATTTTGTATCTGACGCATCTCTCTTCAATGAGCCCAATCCCGTATCAGACTGTCTAGAAGAACGTGAAGAAATCTTCTGGGAGCCAGAAGAAGAGACTCCGGATCTAGCTGCGGGTAACACACGCTGCCTCTTCGAGGTCGAATCCCTTTCAGTCTGGTTTCTATCACGTTTGCGCGTATATGGGAGACCGGTGCCGCTGAGATTCTCAGGGATATCGTCAAATCTTTCCTGATGACTAGGTAGCTTGATTCGAAATACTCGAGACCTAGGTAGGGTTTCGATCTGTGGAGAGGAACTGTCCCGAGGCATCATCCGAGATGATGTATTGGCTTGCGACCTGGGTCGTTCTTGGGATGAATATGAATGAGAGCTTTCCATGCGGGTTCTTCCCATATCAATTGAACTTGCTTCTCCGGTATCCAGAGACTTTCCAGGCTTATCTGACTTGGAACCCTCTCCGTGGACTTTGGGTCTTGAGATAGATTCCGCTTCTTTCTGCATTTGTGTCAGCTCTTCTGATGCTATACTGGTTAGCTCGGTTGAGATCAAGTCCCGATACAAGGTATCTTCTTGTGGATCTTGGTCAGCTCTCTCTGAGAAAAACATTTGCGAAAGTGTCAAGTCCCCTAGATCCTGGGTTCCTGGAACTGTATTGAAACCATGATTGAATATCGAGCTATTATTGATTCCATCTGTCTGCGCGCTGTTACCGTCATCGAAAAGAACCGAAAATAGATCTGGGTCAATAGATTGGGCTTGTGAAATCTCGGCACGGACAGATGGCGGAAATTGCAGGCTACCGGTCTGCTCTTGGGTAGCCTCTATTACTGATTGATTATCCCGATTCACTTTCTTTCGAGGTTTTGTGGTGGGTATGTTTTGGACAGATTTGGAATTAGATAGGCCTGGGGTCGTGTCTTGAGTGCTATGCCATTGGCTCGGCGCACTCTGATCTTTGGCTCCTTGGAGTGCATTGCCGAATTCCTTTTCTAGTGCGAGCAATTTGGACTCCGCCGCCTTTCGGTCCGCCTCAATCCGGGCTTGATACTGGTCTTCCAATAATATACCCCTCGCCTCGACTTCCCTCAACATGGCATTCGTTTCAGCCAAGCGGCGCCTATATTCTTGAACATCATTGCCATGCCCTTCAATGAGCTTTCGGTTTTCATCGGCAGCTTCGTTGCGTATCCGCGCCACCTCCTTGTTCTTGTCATCAACCACAGAGTACAGGTTGCGCAATTCCTCTTGCAAACGAGCCTTCTCAGCATGCAAAGACGTTTCGACTTCTTTCTCTCTCTGCTCATCTACACAACCTTTTTCTAGCCTGGAAAGGAGTGTTTGATTTTCGCGCTTTAATGCCTTGATTTTGTCCTGGCTCGATTGCAATTCATTCTGAGCGTCTCGTCCAATTTGACACATTCGGTCATCCGTCTCTTGACGCAGCACCTTCATATCAGATTGTTGTTGCGATATCTGAACCCGCAATCCAGTATTTTCATCATTCTGGTCCTTAAGCTTCTTCTGAAGCTCCACAAGCTGCTCGTCTGTAGTGCTGAGCCTTTGGTTCAGGGAACAGTTGAACATCTCTTTCTCACTAAGGATGAGCTGAAGTCGGTTGATTTCACATATATGTTCGTGCTCTTTTTCAGCCAGCTTGATTTCACATTCCTTCGAGATTGTGTCACGAATTGTCGCAGCATTCTGCTTCTGCAAAGCGGATTAATGACGAGGTTCTCATGAGCTCACTTTTCTTACCTCATCCATATGCTCCTGAACCGCTTTTGTTCTCTCTTCTTGCGCAGCCTCGTAACGCTTCTGTGATATGTCAAGCTCACGCTTCTATTTGAGAACCAAGGGTATTACCTTGTACTCAGTTGCGTCCTTCTGGAGACCCTGTCGCAGTTTTTCTCCGTTATCAATCTTTTCGCTGGCTGACCTCAGTTCATTTTCAGCTTCTTTGAGCCGTTGGCGCAGGTCAAGGTTGATCTTTTCAGATGCTGACATCTCCGAACGAGATGAGTCAGTTGCTATCTTCAAGTCATTTAGGTCGCGCTCCAGTTCGCGAGATCGTTGCTGTAGATTCACCTCGATCTGCTGTAGATGTTCAACTCGTTCGATGAGGCGAGAAGATTCATGCTGCTGGTCTATCAACTGCTTCGTGAGTTCAGTGTTTAAGCTATTGATCCTACGATTCTCGGCAGCAATCTCTTCATATCTCATCATTTTTGTTCGTAAATCATCTAACTGTTCTTTTATCGATGCGTGAAAATCTGTACTGGGTGGGGCACTGCGAACAAGCGCCCGGGAGAATTCTTTTAGACCAGATTCGATGCTATTTCACGTGTCAGAACAGCGCTTCCTTTTAAGTTGGGGTGCCACGTACCGTTCCTGGACGATGCGCAATATTCCCTCTGCCTTATGGACGTCTTCCAACGTCAAGACGGACTCCTTTTGTAGGTTATTCAGTATGCTGAGGCATTCCTCGATTTTGGTGTTTTGGGGGTTGTGCGTGGCAGCCTTCTCGATCGAAGTTTGCAGCAGCTCTAGTTTCTTCGCTACGAGATTCGAACCGTCGTTGAACTGGCGTTGCAGGCTTTGAACTCGACCGAAGACTTCGTTCTCAATCTTTTCTCGCTTTTCCCTTTCGCTTGTACACTCCGCTTCTAGTCTGTTCAATCTTTCGGTCAAAGCTTTGTTCACTGAATTGGCTACAGCAAGTTGTACATGGAGCTCATCAGCCACCGCCCTCATTTTCCTCTGACTATTTGAGAGTTTGTAAGCGGCCGTTTCAAAATCTTCCACAATGCCCCGCTTCTCTTCTTCGATTTCAGTTATTTTTGCTTGCAGGACTTTCTTTTTGTGCTCCTCAGTCGTCGCAGCCAGTTTTTTCAACTTTTCACAGTCATTCCGGAGGCCCTCTAGGAACTTTTGGTTGTTTTTCGCTTTGCTGGTCAGACTGCTCAATGTCTTCTTCTGCTCATCTCGCTGCTTCATGTAGTCTGCAATCATTTCTCTCTGGCGGTCAACTTGTTGGAGAAGTGTGGTAACTTGCTCTTGACTATTTTTCAATTGTGTGGTGTACTCGTGATGCTTTCGGAAGCTTTCTGCCAAGAACGCCAGTCTTAAGTCCTCAACCGAGCGTTCGATGGCAGGTGACGTGGATGCTCTGAATAATTTGGATGTAGATTTGCTGTCCCCACGTGAATTTCCTCGTGGTTTGGTTACGCGATCTGATCCTCCTCTGCTTGAAGTCCCGTGCAATATATATCTAGATGTGACACTTCGTGCAATAGGTGGTTTAAAGTTGTAGCTTGGATGCACTTGAGACTGGCGCTCGTGTTGATCACCTCTGAGGTCAATGGAATCTGGTACAGTATCTTCACGGGCCTTTTCAGATGAAATCGGATCTTGGTGTTTCACATTGCCCATCTTACACTGAGACCCTTTGGTCTCATCATCGCTTGCGTGTACGGATTTCTCACCCGTCTCGGCGATATGGAGTTGCCCACTAATAAGAGACGAAGGCTGCAAAGCAGAAGTTGGAACGGCGTGTTGCGCCGATGTATCCAAGAGAACCAGAGGCATACATTGAGCCAGATCTCTCATTTCGTCGTACGCTACTGTCCCAAGCTCAGTATGGGTTTCTTTCCGGGCATGTGTTTCGTGAGTTGAGCAGTCTGGTGCGAGTTTCTTGTGATCATGATTGAAAAGCGGAAACTCCACATTAACTTTGGAGACAACTTGGGACTGGGCATTGCATGTCTGGAATGCAGAAAGTTCGGGCAATTGGATAACCTCATTAGGTACAGCTCCACCAGCGTTGTTGAAGTTGTGGATGTGACCAACAGAATGGGTTTGTAGAAAAGGCCATGATCCACCCAGTCGTTGGGTTGGCGATTTCTTCGAGTGCTCCTTGTATTTCTTGAGACTGACATTGTTTTTTGCCGGGTCCTTCATTTTGATGCCTGGAGATGACGGTGGAAGGGAAAGTGCTATTTCCCTCTCTGTGGTTCTGAAGTTGTCAGCAAAACCATTTGCCAGTATGTCATGGGATCTTACTCAGGTTCTTTAGCAAGGGAGAGGGACGTTGGAAACTTAGATAATGAACTAGGCGATTGCATTACTTGGAATCGTGTACTATCCTGCACATCTTTGAATAGGGCTGTGACTCCTTGCAAAGGGACAGCTGCTGCTGTAGCGAGTGGAGGATCATCTATCCACACGTCAGTCTGATGCATAGGAATACGGCATCTTCTCTACCATGCGATTCCTGTTTGCGGCTCTCCTGGTTTGATGACAATTTCGAGCTTTTATGGACGGTAGGTTGCTTGTGAGGGAATACATGCGGTGTAAAGACTGATGCACTCTCAATTTCAGGAGGGTTCTTCGTGAAAGTCTTGAAAATAGCCGGATCGGATTCCAAAACGCTTGTCTTTTTGGACGCTCCGAAGCGACTGAGGGTGGCTAGCGAATTGGGACTCAAGGGGATATCGGACAAATCGGATGTGGAGTCGTAGATTTCTAAGTGTTCCTTGGCATGTCTGCTGGAATCGGTTTGGGTATTGGGGATGACCACGTCGCTGTGCGGCTCTTGAACAACATGGTTATGACTTTCTCTCTTGTCTTCGGCTGATTCTGGCCGGATTTCATGACGAAGACGAGAGGGCTTCTGTCCCTTTGCAGGCATGCGTCTCCGAGCAGCCTGGTCGGCCATTGGGATTGTAGACAGCAGGCGTGATGCAATGAACAGTGAGAGGAAATAGGCAATGGGGATTCTAAATGGCAATACTTGGGAAGATTCCTGGTAGAAGGGAAGTTGTGTGGTGAATGTGAGGGGTAGCAAAGCTTGGAGAGTTGACATTCTCTCCGCGCCTTCCCTGGTCGTTGTGAGGAAGTGACGGTTGACTTTGGCAACGCGCTTCGGTCAGTGGTAGATGTGGTACACACAAGCTGAAGATAACAAACGGACGAGCATAAACAGTTGTACTGGCGCGTTCGGAGCGTTGGTTTCATGCAACGATACTTACTTATGAAAGCCCATATCCCCAGGTCGACGGCTTACCTGTGATGCATTCTCAGCCAAAATCACTGCCGCATATGTCCTGCTAGGTTCACTTGACTTTTACAGCTGTTTCTCTTTCTTGGCTATTTTTCGGGCTCAGGCAACTTTGACATGTCATACTGGTTTGGTCTTGTGTTGGTGTGCTACAACGTGTTTGGTAGTAGACACGTGACTGACCGACAGCTGAAGATCAGGGTACTGCTGATCAGCATGTCAATTATCAAGTCCCCGCTCTTTAGTAACTCTTGTTCAGCCCATCCATTCTATCCTCCTTATTTTTCCTTTACTTGCAAAGATCATCTCGACAGGCCGTCAATGGCTCACACCGCCCTGCGCTAGAAATGAAAGGACGGAAATACCTGTACACATCATGGCCTCATTTCCCATGCTCTACGCACCCAAAAGCGGGCGCTACCGATGAGTGGACCTTAGTACGACAGCTGGTAACGTTGTTCACGACGAACCAGAAGACTTTCGGATATTTGCATGAATCGTCTCCACAGCATTGTCCGAATAGTGGCAGGTTCTATTATGGTAAGAAGCTGGATACGACTCAAAAGCAAGACACGAGGCAAAAATACCTACACACTACGGCTTCACCGACTGCAGTATGGGGCCGCCATCACACTTGAGCCCTGTGGCCATAGAGGATCAAGAGTTGTTGCTGGCTGGCATCCCTGAAACATAAGAGGCGGCGACATTGCTAGCAGGGCGGTTGTGGCCAGGGTCCGACCAATCACAAGCGCCATCCCGTTAGCCTCGCTGCACCGTCACGTCCATCCACCACATTACGCGCCCACGACCCATTACGCCCTGCCAATCCGCGCAGCTTACGCTCCCAAGCCGACAAAACTCGACGCCAATGCCGCTATATTAAGAAGATGGCCTGATGGGCCCTCCCGACAGCCAACCTGGTCTGCAGTCCAAGCGCACGACCCTAACCGCCGACAAAGCCTGAGACTGGCGGGGTATTGGACGACGATTGGAGAAGGCAGCGGTTTGGGCAAAAGAGATGTGCGCGCAGCCATGCAAATATAGGGACCTGCCCTCCGCGCTGGTAGCGAGTTGTTGGTATCTATCCAGTTGATCGAACGCCCTTCACGCCATCCTGGTGTCACCAAAAACTCAATCAATTCTCCGTCGTGCCGCATTCCAACATTCCCATCTGCATCATCATGAACGGGCCTCTTCTCCTCTCGGTCCTCTTCCCTCTGCTAGCCCTGGCGCAGGATTCGTCTTCGGGCAGCAGCCTCCCGCCTCCGGGATACAATGGAGGTAGCGACAACCCGCAAGACCCTAGCGATGCTGGCGCTGCTGGCTCGCAAAAGGGTGCTTTCTCCTTGTCAGGTGGTGCCATTGCTGCTATCATTGTAGTAGCCGTCCTTGTCGTTCTCGGCTCAAGTACGTTCATCACTCCACTTCTCAATCATACTTGAACTAACAAACATCTAGTCGCATCTGGGGTTCTCTGGTGGCTCGCAAAGAAGCGTCAGTGGGACGTTCGAGCATCCATTCGCCGCGCTTCTCGTCGCTTTACTGGCCGCTCAACTGTCGACAACAAGCAAAACCGCTCGGATCGACGCACCGGTATTCGCCTCAACTCCCCGCCCCCGGGCAAGAACACCAACAAGATGCGCGACATTGAAAAGGGTCTCCATATCCCACACAAGACTCCTCAAACTACTACCATCATCACAAGTGGCACCAAGTGAAGATTTTCAGGATACCTTTTAGCTCACTGCGACGAATCGAGGGCGCTGCAGGGCACGTCGACTCCGGAGACGACGACGCATGCGTCATGGAGATACGGAAGGCCACAACAAACACTATGGCCATGTCGGACGGCCAGAACATTGTCTATGCTGCTTCTTGACGAGGCTCAAAAAGCAATCTTACTCCCGATGGCACGTCTGAGGGCACGACAGTAATGATACCATTTGGAGAACAAGGCACCACGCTAGTCACGGGAGCGGCCTATTCTGCGTTCACAGGCTGTTTATCTCTACCTTTTCTTCTTCGAGTTCTGCGTTTTGCCGCATTTTATGATACCACATACTTTTAGTATTTCAGTTCGATATTCACCAATTCTGGTAGAAAAATAGATTATACAAACCACTTTGGTCTGCATGCCACAATCTGGCATAGCTGCACCTCGCTGGTTTTATTCAAATGCACAATACCGAAATAACACTCATGTGCATAACTTTTCCATTCTCGGCTCTCTTTATCTCCATAGATTGACAAAAGCGTATACACTGTACAGCCGTCTGACCCCACCTAACACTCGATGGATAAATGGGCCCCTGGAGAGACCCCACTCAACTTTTCTTACCCCACCTAAGACTCTTGGAATCTGCACTCATGGTCTGATGACATGTCGCTTTTCAGATTTCCGGTGTTTCGGCACGCGCCTATGCTAAGGCTGGGAGCAAAAAGAAGACGACTTAGCCTATGCAATTGTCATCTGGTCTCGTACTGCAAGGATGGAACCGCTGCTCGGGCAGCCTTATTTTTGGTGCAGGTCGGAAATTAAAGAATGTGAGGGTAAAAAGATAGTAAGCTAGGCGGAGCGGAGCGGGGAACTACTACTACTCCCTCGGCTTTTTTTCCAACTTGATGCTTTTTGTCTGCTGGCCACGTGTGCCATAACGCACACCTTCATGTTTTTTGTTTTTCTCTACCGTGGAGGGGAAGAACATTAAAAGTGGGTACTGTCTTTTTCAAGTTCACTCTCCCTTGATTCACATCAAGGTAGTATTGTCCCGAGGCAACACCCAAGTGGTATTGCATCTGAGAAGCAATGCATGCAAGTAGGAGAAAGAAGATTATATGTGTGTTTCTCACGGGATTCTTGGCGACACTAAAATGCCGGCAAGACATGATGTTGTGCGTTTGCGAGCTAAGAGGTTTTCTTCTTCTGGAAGTTAAATGATGTCATGTTGATGACTATTTTGTTGGTGATTTCGCTTCACGATGTGCTATGCTGCTAAACCTTGTGATGGCAGTACTCGAGATCTCGGCCGTTCTTACTCTTGTACCCCATCACACACTTGCGCAGTCAAAACTCAATTGGGAAATCGAACCATTCCTCTCATGACACATACAGTTATCTGATCCCTATCGCATTTGATGTGGCAATGTCGCGACCCGCAATTAGCACTTCAGCCAGTCTTCGCCATACCGACGATGAATGAGCACATACTCTTCCGAACGTCAAACTCTGTAACGATTCATGCATACGATGGATCGTGGTCTTGCAAGACGATCCACCCATTAGAGGAAATCCTTGCGACGCTTGTAATACTGTGCATTTGTTCGAGCAGGCTTCAGGATGCAGCAAGCAACAAATACAGTATGGGTCGAAAAGCGATATGAAGATACAAAAACAACATGTGCTCCTTGGACAAGGACTAAGTACAAGTAACAAGACTAGCATACCCACGCTGCTCGGTTGCTTACATCGCCGATCAAATTTTGGAAATGGCGGAGCTGCATCGGATTCGCTCCGATCATTCCCGACAATAATTGGCCGTGCTCCTAGACCGCAGGCTCATCATCGATACACATAGCAAGTACATTTAGGTTTTGGGCGTCCACCGTTACTCGTACTATTGCAAAAACTTCATGACTGCTATCATCCTCGCATCTTATCATGACCTGTTCGCAAATCGCTCCTTCAAGCTTTAGCAATCGCGGATATTAAATCAAGAATCCTCCGATAAAGACCAAAAGACTCCATTGGACCAACAAACCATAGCATCCCCAAGCCCTGCTTTAACAACACAACATACAATGGTCGACTCCGACGGCCGCAACGAAACGCGGAAAATGGCCATTCCTCGGCTGCAGCCACGCCCCGGATTAAATACACGAGACCAAGAAGATCGCGTGTACGTTACGCCAAGTCGCGTTGCCTTCCCTAGCAATAACGAACATTGTGTAGGAAAAAGGCATGCAAGATTTGTCGCCAGCGTAGTGCGTGCCGTGGAAAAGGCTTGACAAAGTGTGAACTCACTTTGTCATAGGGATGAAATGTTCGGGCACTACTCCGAGATGTCAAAACTGCGACGTTGCTGGAAGGACTTGTGTATACGAACAGAGTCGGCGTGACCGCCTCGATGAGTATACTTTCCTGAATGTACAAGCGCTTTTTATCTGCTGATATTTTTGTAGGGCGATACAACTAAATCATACGCTCGCCACCCTGCTCTGGGATATGAATGAGCACCTCGATGACGAATCCAGGCAAAAGATACAAGACGTTCTAGATATTGTATGTTCACCTATGGTGAATATTACGTCTCAAGCATAGTAAGAAAGCTAACTGTATATTTCTTTGATAGGTAGAAGAGTATACGAAACTACAATCTACAGGATTGCCTTTGATTACTCTAGGGAAACGAAATCAACTACCTCATAGAAAACCCAGGAGGGCACCAAAATATGGCGAGGCGCTTGTAAGCGGCTCTATCGGATCTAATCAAAGCCTTGACAACTTGTTTGAGGACTTGACTCGAAGTCACAAATCGAGAGAAACTGGCTACGTGGGTCAAGCCTCCGAAGTCCAGTGGTTACTCAATGTGCAACGTCAACTGCAAAATATCAAAGCCGAGCCCTGTATCCCACCGTATATCATACAAAACCCAGATCGAGATGCGAAAAGGACACCGCCTGGCACCATCCCTGAGCGTACAAGCAATGTCCAGCAGGTCCCACCACAAGGCACTTGGAAGCATACGACCGATACTTCCTTCTATCTCGACAGCTCAGACATAGCCACAGATATATTCATAGATCCTTACGAACTCCCGAATGCTGAGACTGCAGAATGGCTTTTCGGCTGTTACATCAACACAGTCCACTCATCTTTTCCGCTTGTAAGAGTCAACATAAATGCATTTTGTATGAAAGACATGCCGACAGGGTTTGCTTTTTTTCTAGGTAAATGCAACCTTCGAGCACCAATTCCGTGCATATATTGAATCTGTCAGAGAAAAACGCAATTTCGACATGTCTGACGCATGGCGAGCTCAGTTGAACTTGATCTTCGCGATAGGTGCGAAGTGCTCTTACCTCACCAGCGCAGAATGGAAAGCAGACGAGAGCGATCACGGGTATTATATGATGAGGGCTGTGCATCTCATTAGATCTGAAAGCTCTCTCAGAGTGTTTCCATCCCCCAGTTTAGAGCTTGTGCAAGCGGTGAGTGAACCGTATACTCCATCTTGGACACTTTCGTTGGTTTACACTAACACTAAACCTTACAGACTTGTTCAATTTCTTTTTACCTTCTCACAATTGGCCATGTGAATAGAGCTTGGGCGCTTATCGGTATCTCGCTGCGCCACGCCATTGCTCTAGGCCTACACCTCCGCAACATAGTCACTGAATCGGTTGACCTCGAACAAGACACACTGACACATACATGGTGGGCTGCATACTGCATAGAAACTCTGATAAACACTGTCATGGGCAGGCCCCCAGTAATCACCGACGAACACTGCACTGTGTCATTACCTAATCATGAGTCTGAAACGGATGCATCAAGCAAGAAGCCATACCTCATCAACCGTATCGAGATTGCACGTCTAACAAGAAAGATTCAGCGGTGTCTGTATTCGCCACAGACTGCTACTCACTCTTGGGAGGTGAGCTATTTTCATTTACTACATGCCGCCCTCAGTATTATCCATCGTTCTTACATATCAGCAGTCTGTACAAACAACAATCTCAGGCCTTCTCAATGAACTCAGCAAATGGAGCACAGCGGCACTTTCCACAAGCCCCGAAACGCAATATAATAGCCGTGCAACCGACTCTACCCGCGAGCAGTTCCTCCTAAGAGTAGATTACTGGAGCACAAAGGTACTCATTACACAACCATGTCTTCGCAGTTTGGGGTGGCGTGTCGAAAATCAAAGTAGCACCTCTGCAGATTTTGATACAAGGACAGCTGATTCATGCATCACTGCTGCTTTGGAGTTGGCAAAAATGTTTCCTGTCCAGCTCAACACGAGCTTTGTGTACAAGGAGGGCCCGTGGTGGGCAATTGTCCATATCAGTCAGTGTGCACCGAACAAGCATATACGATACATACTAACTTATATATCTCTAGTAATGCAAGCAATCACAGTCCTATTGCTAGAAATGACATACAACATGCAAGGCAAAAGGAAACAAAGGTTTCCTGTAATACCTTCACTCCAAAGGCTGCTTGGCTGGCTAAATGCTATGCAAGACGACGATCCGTTAGCTGCCCGCGCGTACGATGTCGTTCGGCAAACGCTGAAGTCAAGTTCTCCGCTTTTCCAGACTCAGGTGGATGAACTTCTCGCACTCTCGGATGCAAGATCATTTATGGCGGGTACACACTAAGTAGCTACTAAAAGAACAGAATCGAGTGCATTACCAGTTCAAATTAACATAAGCTTGGTATACCTTCCAGTCTCCAGTTTCTTAACTAAACGTCTTTCACATTCTTTCCTTTATCATCAGTCTCATTAATCCCCATACTTTTTGACTCCTACCTTATTGCTAACAATCAGCTAATGCCACCAAGCAACCCGAATTTCGAGTTTCCGTCTCACCAATCGTAATTGCGACAAGCACAACAAATGCGAAAGCTATAGATCCACATACAAATCTCCTCGCCACAGTGGAACACAAACTTGCAAACACAGCCAGAATGCAATATGGTAGACATCATATATTCTAAAGCCACCCACGAACCGCTATCAAGCTCTTCGCATCCTTTCGCACCCTCTAACCGTAACCACTCTAGCCCTCACTGACAACACTAATCACCCTACCCCCGCGGCGTCGCCCACCCTACAGACCACATCGAACCACATCACCTGATCCATCAGTCCCCGTCTCGCCCTCCATACCCACCCCAAAACCGAAAACAAAGTCTAGACTCACATTAGTATCACAAATAAGGAGGCATTTATCTTTAATCGCCGTACCCACAATTTCAATGTCCCAGTAGCTGTGGCATTAGTATACCCTAGAAGAAGAGAATTGAATTGAGCAGTTGTCACTCATAAGTAGAAGATTCATGCGTACTCAGAGATGCGAAGTCGTATGTCTCTTACTCTCGGTCTTGCTTGATCAGACTTCAAATCAATCAGTCTAGTCTATGTACGATAACTACATCGCCGGATGTAGACTGGGGGAAAGCAAAGGGCCATGAAGATCGCCTTGATAGAAGACTAAGTTTGTTACGCCATGGTTTACGTTACGGTATAGCGGCATTGTAAACACACCTTCTGTCGTCGTTGTTGTTTTGAAACTGCCAAGGGAAAGAACGAGGAATTGGGGATATCAGATCGTTGGTCTAACAACTAGTCTCACTGTCTCATCGAGAGACGAAGTTTCGACGTATCCATTTCGACGTATCCAGCATCCGAGTGAGGAAGAGATGAATGGCTGGTATATACTGAAGATGTGCTTTCGTATCTGGATGTATGACCGCATAGGTACGAATTGGGTGTCGTTACGCCAAACAAGTAAGGTTCGAACTGGTTCTTTGTGGTGTTAGTCGCCATTCATATCACCATTGCCATCTCTTACACCCAGGAAGTTTATCTGGCACGCATTGGAACGATTGCTTCGCTTTTGTATCAGCATTCCAACCCTTTACGCGTAAAATACCACATATCCCTTATCCACACTACCCGATGCTGCACTTTCCCTTGTAGTACAACTCTCAACACCCTCCATGCGAAGCATTCACAAGTCAGAAAGTAAGAACCATTCATACTCCAGAACCGCTGACACAAGCATGACCTCATCGCGGTCACAACACACAGCACACACGCAAAGCAACGATATATCGAGTAGAGAAAAAAAAGCCGCAATGTGATATTGCTACTACCAACAACCCTCAATCAAAAGGGAAGGGAGTCCACAGTTACACTCCCCCAATCTTTCCAAACTCCAAAAAGGCAACCCATGGTATGTATAAATGCGCGCTTTCAAATTCCAAACGCCCCTTTCAATCGATCTTTCTCTCACCAAACTTTCCACTCTCCTTTTTCTTTCCACAAGTGAAAAGTTTTCTACATAACGGTGCAAGGAATGCAGCAGCAACTGCAATCGTCGGTGCTGATACAGCTGCACTTGCCGCCCTGGGGTTTGACGATGGAGCCGGCGGTGGAGGCGATGGAGGAGGAAGCTGAGGCGGGCATGATTGCGAGTTTTACGCTGGTATTCGGAGTATGCGAATCGAGGATGTAGCGAGGTTGGGAGGACGCAAGGAGAGTGAGTGGCTAGGGACGCAAGTGTTGAGGAGTGTTGCGCTATGACGTTTGTTAGAGTCTCCTTGGGCTGGTCTTCGAGGATGCGCAACGGGCGCATGAAGGGGACTTACGGTGTGCGTGGTGGGATAGAAGGGAGAGGTGGATAATGTGGAGAAAGTAACGGGTTGGGGTTTGAGAGGGAAGACAGAGGGAGATTAAGGTTGTCGTATAACGGTTTCCTGGCCTTGCTTCAATGCTGCTGCGCGTGGCGCGCTAGGCCAATGACATGCCGACGCTAGCGCCGACATGACGTCGCCTGCGTGGCTGTGAACGTGGCTGACGCGCTTGCATCCATCTCAGAATGCATGTAGAAGAATGGAAGAGAAACGTGGCGATTTTTCAAGTTAATTGAATTGTTTCATATCTATCAGTTGATGAACCCATAAGAAATGGTATCGCGAAAAACGATCAAAAAAACACAACACCGTGCCTTGACGCAAAACATAGCCTTTCATATAGCATCCGAGACCCTACACATCCCTCCAAGTTGGCTGTCCTCTCTCTGCGAAAGGCGTCTTGATCGCTGTAGAAATTTAGTCCCGCTTACGGTGTTGATTGTGGGAAGCTTACCATTGCTGTCACCAAACGGATCGTTTTCGTCTTCCTCGGGCTCGCTGTCCGATTCAATACGCTGCTTGTTAGCCATGGGAGAAGTAGGCATAGGGATGCTCGTGGGTCGCGGTGGCTTTGGTGGAGGAGCCTCATTCATGTCCATGTTGGCCATGGCCGCTTCAGCAGCGGAAACATTGCCTGCCTCGTTGTCGCTGTCGCTGTCATCATCAATGCTTTTGTCCATGATTTCAAATGCCATTAGTCCCTTGACTAGCTCATCATTGGCATTGAGCAGACCGCCAATGTACTGTTCCGACTCAACGAGGTGAATGTAGCGCAGAATTTGACGGCGTAGTTGTTTGCAGGTCTCAAAGCGGCGCATGACTTCTGCGTTTTCGCTGACTCGCTGTTGCTCACGATTGATAAGTTGCAACCCATTCAATAGATTTGTGCTGGCAACGTTTGCTGATGCGATGGTCTCGAGCATCTGTCCCTTCTCTCTTTCGAGATTGAACGGCTGTCGCTTGGTCTTCTTGTCTTTCTTGTCCCTCCTGCTGAACAATGAAGAACTGGTGGAGGTACTAGGACCGGGTGCAACAGGAGCACTCGTCCTGGAAGGCGAACTTTGAGATGGTTCGGACCACCTATTTCGAGGAGGAGATTCCGAGTGCTCCTCACGTTCGCGGGCGGCTTCAGCGTCTTGCTGCCGCACTATACGGGACTGTTGCGGCTGCGGGCGTTTAGTTCGAGGCAGCTCCTTGTGCAGCGCCGCTATTCTTTCTAGGCCAGGTTTTCCCTTGTACTCGGCTGCCCATCCGCGAAACAGGACATTGGCTTTCTGTCGTACATCGGGATCTACTGTATCGTCTCTAGCCAAGATACGAAGTCGCTCTAAGAGGGGCTCATCTGCAAAGGTTTTTTGGAATCTTGTACCCGCATTTTGGATCAATGCATCCAGTATGACAAGGGCACGTATTTGGCGATGTGCATTGCCGTATTTGCTGTAGTGGTGTTAGAACCCAGTATCAGCCAGGCTAAGTCTTCACTCACAGCTTCTTGCGCAAAGCTCGAGCTGCTTCTGTTGGTCCAGATGCTTGGATGCGGATAACCTCAATAAGGTCAACGACTCCACCAATATCCTAAGCCACTTAGCAGCGAAAATGTAGGTAGTTTGTGGGACTTACATTTTCTTCGTATTGCTCGCTCGTCAGTCGATCAATCTGGACCGTTACGGCCGAAAACACGTGCTTCTATTGCCGGAACCAGGACTTTAGTGACTTGTGACAGTGTTCAAAGAAACATAAAGGACAGGGGTTTTCGGATATGGGTAGTTCTGCATATGTCTCTGGCTCTTTGTGATAGTGTAGGCCCTTGATAGTAGAGAGAACTTTGAATTTGCCTGATTTGGGTAAACTCTGCTTTGGGGAAGAAAGGGCTTGAGGGTCACATGAATAGTAGCGATAGGTGACAGAAGGACGGCCCGGCGACTGGCCAGCAACAAGTGGCTCAACATCGATGCGCTGGACTTTGGGGACCATGGTTGAGTGGAGGGGAGTTTGGGAGGAGCGGCGCAGGAAATGGGAAGGGGTACACTGATGAAAGGGGGCAATTCTGGGGTTCAGGTGGCTTTGTATGCGACTGAATGGGAATGTTGCTTACCGGCATTTGCGATGGCCTTGGGATGGACAGCTGCTATATTTGGATACAGAAAAAGCAAAATAGTCGTGAATGGAATATTCGTTCTGTTGTTACGAAGTGCTGCGGATCTGCACAGATAGGTGAATCGGTTTCCTCACCACGGTTTGGAAGAAGTTTGGAAGCTGATTTGGGGGTAGGGATCTGGTGTTACAGATAAGAATAGAACAGCACGTGGACCGGGGAGAACACGTGCGGGCGAAACGTGTGGGAAAGAGAGTTGTCCGAGAACTGCAGAGCTCGTGTTCTATGAAGGGAAGATGTTGTAGGTACACGCGGTATGCGGTGACGCTATCGCTGCCTTGATCCGGAGGCAGGTCACCCCGCAGTGGGGGGCTGAGTAAGGAAGTCACAGCCCACACGCCCATCACCTACTCCCCTCCCCAACCAACTCTTGGGCCCCAATCTTCACTATCTACTGCATATCATCTGACTCGTAATCGAATCCACAGAGACTGAACATAATCCTTGCAGTGAAAGAACGACTAAGATGGTGATAGAGAATGACATCGACGACGCGTGAGAGGCCCTAAACGCGTGCCTTCATCACTTCAAACCCCTTATCTTTCACCATTGTCAACTAACACGAAGCCTGCAGGCAATCTCACCTGCCTCAGGTTTCTTCGGGATTTACAGCAATCAACCACGGGCAGGTACATCTCGAACAGCTCTTGACGCCCGAATCATCGGCGGCCACATCAGTCCCGCCGAACCCAGCCTCATCAAGGGCGATCGGCAGCCCGCGACGACGGCACAATCCAAATGTTGCTCGATACCTCGGCTTGGGCAGCACCATTGTGCCAGATCATCTCAAGAACTATGCGCCACGGCTAGCAAGACCAGACAGTCCATCAGTTGAGTCTGGGCGAAAGCGCCTGCGGCAGGCTGATGACAAGATTATACAGCGTAGCTCCCGCACAAGAGGGCTTCAAGGCGGACTCGCAGCATCGACATCAGCACCTACGCTATACAGTACTCAATATTCTCAAGCTACCTATGACACAAATGACAGTATATCCATTATGAACAGCCAGGCTTTGCCCCAGCCATACTTTGCTCAGCCTGAAGTTTCGCACGTGACTCCGATGAGCACTCTTGACTCAGAGACCGTGCGAATGAATAGTCAAGACGCGGTGAAAGGACCACATCCTGAGAGCCCCTATTTGTCACTACCTGATCAAGGAGAAAACGATGTAATCGGTATATGTCCGGGTACTAACGACAGCAACGTGCTTTGTCGAGACAATGACGACATGAATACCACCAGCGATGATTATGAGTTCGATATCACGGACGATGAACTACTCACTCTAGCTTCGGGTTTTGATGAAAGGCGTTTCGACGTCCCTCACAACATCTCAAGCTCACTGGCAAAGTCCTATCTTAAAGATAATGAACAGATGCACGCTAGTGATGACTGTAGTGAAAATGCACCTGAGGAAGCGCCTGCTATCAACACCTCTCAGCACACTCGCAAGAAGTTCATATCTCCAGTTACTCTAACTACCCGTCTGTTGACGGTCACCAGCGATGAGGGATCTGCAAATGCTCGGGCCCCGATTGTCAGACCTCCATTTCCGAAACCAGCTCGCGACCGCTCGCCTATCATAGGCCTTTCGTCGAATGTTATACTCAGAATATGTTTCCGGATCGGTGAAGCAGTCAACCAGAGCCATCAAGCATCAAAGTCAGGGCAACAGATGCTCATCGAGCTGTATGCCAGGGTGCTTACTTCGGAGCGGACTGAGAAGCATCAGTATTTTACCTTCTGCGACCTTTTCCACGCTAATCCTCCACACGTGAAGGGCGTCTACGATGCGGTTATATGGAAGGCGGTTCCGCTTTTCGAATATGACAGTAGGCGGCTGTTGCAACAAGGACGGATGTGTCGATGTATCGGGACGATGAAGCGCAATGGCAAAGAGAGATTTATGGTTGTTCATAACATATGGGAGGCGACCTGGGAAGATATTGAGTGGGTGGAGGGCATTGTGGGCTTTTAAGGTGTGGTTGGGGCAACGGGCACATGTGAGACGATCTGTCAGCGATCTAGGCGCGATAATGATTCTTGGGGAATGCGAATATGGGGAGATGCTCGATTAGGGTTTGTCCCGGGGTCCGATGGAGATGATTTGTAGCCGAGTGCTGGGTGAGGCACCAATAAAGGTAACAGAGGGTGAGGTTGCTTGTGGCCCGCACGTGACGATAGGAGGCCCTGATTAGCAGCCGCCCCGCTTTGGTGACATTGACGTCGAGCGAGGCGGGCCGGGCGTATCAATCGCAACCAAGGTTCATTCCTGTTCACAGCGCGTGGCTAATATAATGAGTCTCGCCAGTCGCCCTGCAGAACCCTCCTTCCTCTTCCCTGGTTGCAATGTTGACGGCCACGACGACGCCAGACATCACTAGCAGACGCGAACCCGGTGACCGCGAAGGCGCCGTAATGGCGTCGCAGGTAGTGACAACACCACCAAAGACGCAGTCGCCCAAAGCACGGTCTCTCTCCGACAGCACACCCCGTCTTGAGCCATCGCCAAAAATCCATGAATCCGCACGCATGTCAAAGGACGACCACACCATCGATGCCAGCCCCAGCACCCCTCGCCGCCCAGACTTCCTCTCCAGAGGCCTCTCTCTGCAGATGCCCCCAAGAGAGTCGCACATGCCTAGCCCCGCCCACTTTGCTGCGCGTGTACCTCTCTCACCGCAACTAGATGCGCGCAACACGTATGCCTCCCCTGGGTCCGTCCTGCCCCGCCGCTCCCGTGGTGCCGAATTCTCGAGAGCCTGCACCAATCTCCATCATTCGACGCTCCCTGACCAGTCGTCCCCCGACTCCTCGCCAACCATCACGCAAAAGGGCATCAAGATACCACCGCGGAAGCCTCGCTCCAACTCGATGCTCATGGAATCGCCCAACGTGAGCTTGCATGGGAGTGGATGGAGCCATGGAGATAGGACGGCGCCTTCGAGCTCGGTTGGAAGCATTAACATGATGGGATCTGAAGACTCGAGCAGTTCTTCAGACGAGGTGGACCCATTAGACCCTGATGATCACGACGACCCCATGATCACGACACCACAGGCTAAGACCAATGTTTTGTTTCCAGGTCTCGGCTCAGGCAACAACGGGATCTGGGCAAACCTCTTCTCCCCCGGGGCACAACCCAACTTTGCAAGCATGCACCGCGCTAGACTGCGTAAGGGCCGAAGTAGGAAAAGTTCGAGCTCCGCCAGTGGGCATAGCTCAATGGCCAGTCCTGGCCCAGGGTCACCGCCGAATGGTAAGGAAGGTGGGTATTTTGCCCGCGAAGCAGCAATACGCAAGGCAGGCTCGCGGAGAGAGAGCCTTTCGCTTTTTGCCAACGACCTTCACATATCCTCTGGTAACGATAGTGGCGATGAAGCTGTCAATTTACCTCAGACCCCTGGCGTAGTGAGGCGGGCGGTTACACGGAGAGGCAACTTGCTTGTACGTTCCTTTCTATTCTTGTCTTGCTACTCGAACTGCATATGCTAACTTGACCAGCCAAAATCGAGACAATTTGGCCGCATCAGAGCCGAGTTATTCGAAGAGGCGGCGCCCGTAGATAGCGAGTTCCGCCGTGAAGCCGAAATCATACGGCAAGTAAGAGAAAGTGATGTAGACCAGGAAAGGACTTCAGTCACCGCCCAATCCTCGCCTAGCCTTCTACCTGCCGTTCCTGGACTGGATGGACCACTGGAAGGAGTACCGGAAGAAGGTGACGAAAGCAGCATGAGTCTCGACAACTCCAACGCTAAGGGATTGTTTGGTGTGTTTGGTAATCTGCACAGCACTGGCAGAAATTCAACAAGCCATGGCTTCTGGAATCAACGTGCAGCTCACACTCCTCCCCCTTCCTTCCCTCGAGCGGAATCATCAGCAATGAGTGAAGACATGAACATGGATTCGCCAATCATCGGCCCCAACGGTGGGGCATCTCGGGCGTCCACACCCGGGCCTATGCAACCCCCCACGGCAGCTGAAGCGCTGAAGAAGTCAAATAAACGCCGGCGAGATGATGACTTTGATGAAGCCTCAATCAAACGCCGTGCCGTCTCGCCTGGCGTCAGCGTTCATAACAGTCCCGTCATTTCTCAGTCGCCTGCTCAGCGGGACGGAGGCCTATGGGGAACAAGCGCCAAAGCAAGCAGAGAAACATCCATCAGTGGGCACTCGTATGGTGAGCGCTCAAATAGCGGAGGCAGTATGAGTATGACGCCCACATTGGGGCCAAAGAGGATAGGTCTACAAGGCATGACTGACACGAGTGATGGGTTGATGAAGATGAGCATCGAGTAGGTGCGCGAAATGCGTTGTTTCACAAACTACGGGAAGTACACGGTATTGGTTTCATTTCTGGCATGGTGTTGAGGGCAAGGGGAATTGAACGTACATGACTAGTTCATTCTTGCACAGGCTTTTTTTTTTTGAATAGATACCCATTTATCATCTTTCATACTGTCACCAAGCGCCTGCCGCATTCTGGGTTCTGTGTCTGCTCTGCGTGTACGCGGAGTGAGGGGTGGCCCCTGCACTCCCGCTGGACCCCGCCCCGCTGGGCTCCTCCGCCCTCGATGTGCGCCCGCAACTGTGCCAGCACAACAAGCAATTGCTGCAACAAACAACCGCAAAAATGTCACGAACAGCAGCCCTCTCTTCCTTTATCGATAGCGCACCGCCGGGCGAGGTATATCCCCCTCTAGCACTGCATATTGTTCGTGTTACAGCGCCGACTGACCAGCAATACAGCTCGCGGATGTCACCAAGGCAATCAAGTCAATCCTCGGTGACGACTCTGTACAGAACGAGCTCTCTCCTGCATTCCAAAAGTACAACGAAGAGCAATTCGCTACGACCAAGCTCCCTGGCGGAAGCACTGAGGTCCTAGTCAGCCAGTACAACTCGCTGGGCGACGGCAGGTACTACGACATTGACACGCAGAGCTCGTTTGATTTCGACCATGTCACTGGCAAGGCAAGCGCCATGCAGAGCTACGTAGTAGAAACTGCCAATGACGACCTTCTGTACGTCTATCTCCGCATCTCCAGGCGCTGGTGCCCAAAGAGATGACAGCATGCTAACCCCCCACCCCAGCAAGAGCCTCAACAAAGCCCTGAGCACACACGCTGCAGAACACTACCCCAAGTCCTCACACGGCGTGTACCCAATCCCCTCATCCTCCAACTTCGCCATCATCACCGTCGCAAACAAGTACTCGCCCACAAACTACTGGAACGGCCGCTGGCGCAGCTCATACATCTACGACTCATCCTCGGGTAGCATCACAGGCAGCATAAAAGTCGACGTGCACTACTACGAAGATGGCAACGTGCGCCTGCTTACCACCAAGGAGATCAGCGTTAATGGTAGCGGCGCCAGCGGACCGGAGGTCGTGAGGAAGATTGCGGCTGAGGAGAAGAAGTATCAGGAGGATTTGAACAAGGCGTTTGCCAGTTTGAGTGAGGGCGCGTTCAAGTCGCTGAGGAGACAGCTGCCGATTACCAGGCAGAAGATTGAGTGGGAGAAGATTAGTGGGTACAGGTTGGGTCAGGATATTGGCGGTGGAAGGAGGTGAGAAGGTGGCTTTGAACAGACGATGACGATGGTTTGTCGGGAGGGTTTGTCAATGGGCGGGGGCGATTCGTAGCGATATACCTAGCATGAATGAAGTACTGAGTGCGTGTGATTAACAAGTTCTTCTTGATATATCTATCCGTAGATCTCTAATGATGCTAGAGGAATGTCTCGTGGTCAGTGTGATTCCCCACCAACAGAAACCAAAACGCTTCACACAACACAGCAATAATTCAAGATTAGATTTTCGATTGAGGAAAATGGGTGTCATACGCATGTACATAAAATCCAAACGAGAAAAGTAAACATGACCATGAATCCGCAAGCACGACGTAAATCAACCACTCAAAAAAAAAAGAACGCCCGCTGATTGAAGAGAGAGAGAGAGAGAGAGAGACGAAACAAGCCTGTCTCAGTCTTCCCTTCTCTCTCCTGCCCACCCCCCACCCTGAGAACAAAAGGGGAAAAAAGGAAAGGAAAACGCCAAACGAACCGATTCTAGGTTCCTGTATACACAACGTGGACTGAACGACCCCACCTTTTCCGTGGGAAGTATTCAAAGTCGTGAAGAAGAAAGAAGGAGAAGAAGAAGAAGAAGAAGAAGAAGAAAAAGCTGGTATGTATTCTTCCCTCATGTGGCATTGGATAATGGAGAGAGAGAGAGAGAGAGAGAAAATAAAAGGAAAAAGAAAAGTGGAAGGGAAAATTTATTTAGTGATGAAACCGAGGTAATCAGCGACGATGAGGGTAACCATACTGTTGATTTCCATTAGTTGGGATATTCAAAAGTTGAAAAAAAAGGTAAGGAAGGAGGAAGAAGAAACTTACGCATGGGGCGCAATGCGCACATAATAAGTTCCAAAGCCACGATAGAACCTGAGCAAACCTTCTTCTTTGGCGACCTTCTTGAAGCAATCAAACATGCCCTTGTACGGCAACGTTCCATCGGGCGCACGTGTCTGCTTCTGGAGGCGTGTCTTCATGAAGTCAAAGGGGAGAGATAGGAAACTAGCGAAGAAACCGGCGATAGCACTGGCGGTGAGGGTCTGGGAGCGGCTTGACAAACTCGTGTTTTGCAGCTGCTGCTTTGCCTCTGAGAAGAAGGCGAGCTGGCCAAAGTTGAGGGCCATGGCGCGTACGACGGTCGGGTAGCTGCCGGCCCAGAGGCGGGTGACGCCTTCGGCCTTGCTTATTCGCACGAGGGCGTCGATGACGGAGGAGTAGTTTGCGCGCTGGGCGGCGGGCTTGAGGCCGTCGGATTGCATGCGGATGAGGGCGAGGTCAGCGGGGTTGCCGACAATGGCGGCGAGACCGCCGGCTGCGAGACCAGCGCCTGCGCGCTCCTTGAAGCCGATTGAAGTGCCGTTTTCTTTTGCACGTGCGCTTAGGGTCTTCATGAAGGTGTCGAAGAAGCCGAGCCGGGCGGTCGTGTACACGGCTTGGCGTAAGATGCCGGCGCTGAGTCCCGTGTAGAGATCTAGCACTTTGCCCTGTGCAACAATGTCTCGGAGCACGCTGATGGGTGTGGGCTTGGGGCCGGTTTTGACACCTTCGCCGGCGAGTTGGAGGCGTACTTTGACCATGTCGACGGGCTGGATGACTGTTGTTGCGGTCATGCCTGCGATGCCGCCGTTTACAAACGGTAGTGCTGCACGCATAAATGGTGTGTGGAGAAAGTCTGAAGTTGCCTTCCTGGGGTTCTCGGCTGCTTTGGACATGGCGGAGGAAGCGTCGCTGAGGACTGATTCTGAGGATTGCTTTGCGTTTTCGAGGGCGCGGGCAGCAGGCATCTTAAAGGTATTGGTGGTGGCTGTTGCAGTTGACATGGCAGGCGTCAGCAACTACACGTAGTCCTAACTCGAAGGATTTTTCGTGTGTGAATGGGGGTAAATGATATAAAATGGTAGTGCTGTTGGGTATAACGCTTCGCTATGCTGGAATGATCAAACGGGGAAAGCAATCTAGGAGAGGACTGAAGTTGGAAAAGTCGACAAAGGAGACCGCCGTCTTAACTCTATATGCCCAGGCACGATGAAACTACGACATGACGCGCGCCTGTGGCTCCAAGCCACTTGCAAGAGCCTCATGTTGCGATACAGGTTCCAGACGGTATGCGCCGCGGCCGTGGACATTGTCGAGGCTAGCCTGTTATGACATGGATGTACAGTTTGCGCCCGACGCACAGTAGACATTGCAAAGTGGGCTTGTGACGGAAAACGTCTCCGTGTGCAATGGCCCTCCTCTTTCCGATCATACCCGCGTCGTCACATAGGGGGCACACAACATGTCGGTGAATAAGAAGAAAGGGTGTTGGGGCGTACCTCGTGCTATGGAGTCTGTGCGGAGGTGGATGTCCCGGTCCGAGTAGGAGACGAGTGGGGTGTGGGTCGGGTGGGCTTGGAAAGTGGATGCGTGCAATGGATGGCGTACGTGCGTTGGACGGCCGGCTTCAGTGAGTGCTTCAACAATGTTTGCAAGACAAAGTGCTGAGGATGTGAGCAAGACAAACGAGGCTGGAGGTTCAGTGAAGAAGTGAAGAGGTCAGAAATAGCACGATTGCCTACGTATTGTCAACAAGTCAGTCCACTGGTGCCATGAATTGAGGGGTTGAACGGCCTTTCCCCGCATCGCCGTCCTACCCAGCGAGCCACTGATATGGAGAGCTGCTGTTATGCGCATTTCCATGGCTGTCCGTCCAATCAAGCCTGACGAGTTGCCTGTGCTCTGATGCCATGGTCGCCTCACACGCTCCAACGCCATGGCGGAGTACCAAAAGCTGGAGGCGCTTGTGTCGCGTGTCGGACCCAACCTCTTGTCCGTCCCTCTCTCCGACGGTTGCTTTCGGGGGACCTATGCCTGTCTCCGGGTCAAAGGGTTCAGTCAGATCTTCAGGCACGCCATCCTTCATTGCCTCTCCGTTGCCCCGTGTGCGGAACCGCTACTATGCTGTACATAATCACGAGCAATGACGTCTGTCGCAGCAGCCACATTCGGCCAATCTATCCGTCGCAAACACGCCCTGTCACATGCCAGCGACCACCTGTAGCAGTACATCACCGTACATAAGCTTCATGTCAGGTCCTCACCTAGTTGTAGGCAATGTGACCTCAGCGCGCTTTTCTGCACCCGAATAGCCTCTTCGACAATCGCGAACCACAACCGTGCATCGTTCTTACCAGCCGCGCATGGCATGCGCAGTGCTTTTTGGGCCGCCTCGAGTCCTTATTGATATACCGCCTTTTGCGCATCTGCTTGGAGCAAAAGGGTCACGCCGGTTCTGCTCAAACGCAGGGTCTTTGCCGTGCTTGTGAGCCGTTCAAACAAAAAGTGCTTCCTGCGCGGCGGTGGTTGCGCGCTTGAACGTACCCGAGAGGTATCCGCGGCCGTAGACATTTGCTTCTGACGATAAGCACCGAGATTTTGCTGGCTCCGATCGAAACCACGGTGGGTCTTTCATTGATGTCTAGATGCACGGTTTTCCGAGCACAGGTCCGTCAACAAAAGGAAAAGCCATTTTGCTTATCCGGGGAAGCTGTCGGATAAGCCGAGGATACAGCAACGGCGCCTTGTCTGCAGAAGTAACACCTTCACAAAGGTTTGCGATAACTTCATTGGGGAAATATCGCTGCACGAGAAAAAGCTGGGACATTTACCGGCAAGTGAATGTGGCGCTGGACTTGGGCAGCAACTTGACAATCTCAACGCCTCATGCATTTATGGACTAT